AGGCAGCTACTAGCTGACTCAGTGGTGTGTGTGTGGCGGAGTGCTGCAGACTCCCTAGCTGGGAAGACACTGCATTTCCCACTGATGGTCTTGCCTGGGAGCTTCCTGGCTGCCCACACCCCCTCTCTCTGCTGCTTGGCCCCAGTAATGGATGGGGGACATGGGGACACGGTGCCAACACACGCAGAACCCTGATCCCTGGTGTTGGGAGGATGGCAGGGAAAGGGCAGAGAGGATGGGTGTGACTACTGGCTAGGCCCTCCTGACAGACCCCTCCTCACCCTGGCCTCCTAGGCATGCCCAGCATGTGGCCCCTCTGGCTCCTCACATCCCTGTTGGCCCTGAGCCAGGCCCTGCCCTTTGAGCAGAAGGGCTTCTGGGACTTCACCCTGGATGATGGACTGCCCATGCTGAATGATGAAGAGGCTTCAGGTGCCGACACAACCTCAGGCGTCCCGGACCTGGATTCCCTCACGCCCACCTTCAGCGCCATGTGTCCTTTCGGCTGCCACTGCCACCTGCGGGTTGTTCAGTGCTCAGATCTGGGTCAGTCTGGGGGCCGTGGTCGGAGGGGTATATAGAGGCACAGCCTGAGTGCCCTTATCAAGGGGACACAAGTCTGTCCTGTGGTATGGCCAGGGAAGGTTGGGAGCATAGATGGCGTACCCTGAGCAGGCTTGGGGATCCTGATTTCCTTGTGGGAGGGTGTTCAGTTGTATGGTTGCAAGTGAACAGGGAGTGAGAAGAGCTTCTGCCTGCCGGTTCTGGAGCTTCTGCCTGTCTGTGGCAGAGTCCCTGGGTGTCTGTCAGTGTGTGTGAGTGTCCCCCTGCTCTGAGCCTCTCTGGGGTGTGGCCCGGTCTCACATTGGTGACATCAGTGCTGGCCCCCAGGTCTGAAGGTTGTACCCAAGGAGATCTCGCCTGACACCACTCTGCTAGACCTGCAGAACAATCACATCACCGAGCTCCGCAAGGATGACTTCCAAGGCCTCCAGCACCTCTACGTAAGCCCACCTAGCCCTTTGGAGGGGCCAGGAGTAGGTGGGCGGTCAGCAGCTGGGGGGTTGGGTCCAGATGGGTGTGCGCACGTACTTGTGGAGTCCAAGAGGGACTGGGCATCTGTGGAGTCCTGAAAGAAGTCTGGAGGTGGGCATGGAGGGTGTGTCCTAGGTCAGGGTCACGTGTGTGTGGGTCAGCAACCATGAATACAGGACAGGATCACTCAGCTTAATTTCCTTTTCAGCTGGAAACTCTTTTCATTTTATTGGTCTTCCCAAGAACATATTTCATTGTAGCCAGGATGCAAGTGGGGAAACTGAGGCTCAGAGAAGCACTGGGCTGTGCTAGGCAGTAGTCGCATCGCCAGGCCTGAGTGCTGGCTCCCAGCTCTGCACTCTGCCCACGAGCAGATGGATCTCCTTGAGGTGCAGCTGGGACTCAGACACCTGTGAAGTCCCAATAATCTCCAGCTCAGGTGGCAGTGGAGAGAGAGAGGAGAGGGCAG